AGTCCAAGCCACACCTGGATCTCAGGCTGGCCATCGGCCCCGCGCCCCCACCCTGAGGCTCAGGCATCTGTCTGATGAGAAGGATGTTCTCGGGCTGGGAGGAGGCTCCAACCCAGAAGTTCAACGAGTTTGCACTTGGATCTCTGCTCTTACCCATGGAGGCCCCGGGACTCAGAGTGACTGTTAGCATGCCTCACTTGTGCGTGGCCCAGGAGGCACTGAAAGGTTAGTGAAGAAAAGCAGGGGCTAAGTCGCTAAAGGAAAAATGAGAGTTTGGAGTCAGGAGCGCTTTCTGGGAATCATGTTGCCGCCAGTGAAATCGTATTACATGTAATGAAATAAATGTCGGAATGCAGCATGCCCGTGAAGACCCAATCAGCGGATGTCATCGTCATTTCCTTGGCCAGCCTGCCTGTCCTGGGATCCCCTCTCCCCAAGGAGAGCAATTACCCCAATTGGTTTTATTGCATTAGTGTGGGCAGAGCTGAAGAAAGGGGCTTTCTTCCTTCCTGCAGGAGCACCGGGAGGCCAGACCTCGGACTCCAGCCCGGGGGCAGCATGAGTGTTTCTGGGAAAAATATGTCTGCAATGGTCTGGCCTATGGCCCCCAGCTACAGCCCCTGACCCCCCACTCGCACAGGCTCCCGGGCTCCTCAGCACCCTCTTTGTGCCTCTATTTCCAGCCACTTGCCTTGGAACCACCCTCAGCAGGAAGACAGCCGTTCCTGGGGGTCTAGAAAGTAAGCGGGTCCTAAACGCCTCCAGGACCTGTGACGGTCCTTCCACCCACGCCACGCAGCCCCACTTCCAGGTCTGTCACAGGCAGGTGCCCCATGGCAATTTTCAAAGGCTCAGCAAATGGCTGTAGAGGTGTCTCTCCCTAACCACGGGGTTCAGTCCACGCCGTGTCCCGGACTGACTGGTACTTTCTGTTTGCGCAATGCTCCGTGTGTGGCTCTAAACGGTATCATACCTTGGGGTCAGAAAGTATCAACACCATCAGACTGATGCTGGAGAGTAAAAAATGGGGCCCTTCAAATGCAAAGTGACCCTCAAATGCAGCCATCATCACATGCCTGAGACATGGGCCCCCCTCTGCTCACAGAGCACATGGGATACCCCCACCTACTAAAGGTGCACATGGGGTCCTGTAGGCCTCCTCAGCTCCCACAGGAGAGAAACGGCATACTACTTAGGTCAGGGCAGAACCAGGGTGCCCAGGCCCCCACTGGCCCAATTTCCAGTCACCCGTGAGTGGTGCCCCAGGCACCATGCCTGCTTGTGGGAGCAATGGTCTGTCCCCCCTCCCGCCCCCCCCCCCCCCCACACACACACACACACTTGTGAACCACTCGTCAGTGCTCAGGGCTCCAGGGTCCTCGCAGCTTCTCCCTTGTGGGAAAGGAGCCGGCAGAGACTCTGATGATGAGAGAACGGGTGTGTGTCAAAGCGAGGCACTGCAGACAGAGCTCTCCAGGGTGGTACAGGTGCCCTGATGAAAGGGGGCGCCTCCCCTCGCTCGCCACAGGCCTGCAAAGCGCCCCCCACCCCCTCGCTCACCCCCCCGCCCCGGCCAGTGTGCAGGACTTGTGCAGCGTTACGGAAATAAGGTGTGAGGCCCTGGGACCTCCCATTTCCAAATGGGAGTTTTGAAGATGAGTGTGCACAGACCCTGGAGCTTCAGAGAGGAGCCCATCTGCACCCCACAGGCTCCCGCCTCCCACCAGTGCCGGTAAGGCCTAGGGCAGTGATGGCGAACCGATGACACGCGTGTCAGAGGTGACACGCGAACTCATTTTTTTGGTTGATTTTTCTTTGTTAAATGGCATTTAAATATATAAAATAAATATCAAAAATATAAGTCTTTGTTTTACTACGGTTGCAAATATCAAAAAATTTCTATATGTGACACGGCACCAGAGTTAAGTTAGGGTTTTTCAAAATGCTGACACGCCGAGCTCAAAAGGTTCGCCATCTCTGGCCTCGGGCTTTCTCAGCCACTGCGGAATGTTCCAGCATCCTGGCGCTCCCCCATCCCCGAGCAGAGAGCAGGGGTCGTATGGGCAGCTGTGGGTCACTCGCCTCTCTTTGAGTCTGCCTTGTTAGTGGCCTATCTGTGCCGTTTTTTGTGGGGGTTTTTTTTTTCTTTCCAGAATTAATTTTGGCCTGAAAACGTCTCAAAGAAGGCTTTGTTCCTTTGACACTTATTCTGGAAGAAAAAAAATCTGTGGAAAATCTGACATCTGCATTGTAGGGAGAAGTCAGTAGATGGGGAGGAATATAATTACCTTCCGCTCCTGAAAGGATGTCTCAGATTTTTAAGTGTCTCATATCAGCTTAGAGTTTGAATGACATTTTAATTATTTTGTTTTTTTTCTTCTTCGCTGGTTTGAATCTCCAAAGATTCACCCTCAGATTCTGAGAGGATGCGGGGAGTGGAGCCGTGCTCACGGGGAGCCTCGCGTGACCGCGGCTGAGGTTTTCCACGGAACAAGGGGTGCGTTTCATCAGAAAGCAGCAGCTCGCCCATAGGCAGACGGGCTCGCTCAGATCTGGGTCGTGTGTTTTCACACAGCGTAACTGTGTGTGGCCAAATTCAAACGAGGTGTCTCTCTGGCACTTTGTGATCTAAGCAAACCCAGTTTCCAGGAAGATGTGACTACTTTTCAAAGTGCTGCATTCAGAAGTCTTTATCCTTGGAGCACAGCTCCACAAAGGCGCCGCAGCCGGTGGCGGTGGGAGCAGCCGGCGGCTGCAGGCCAGGCGGGCTCCGCCCCGCGAGGTGTGAGGTCCCAGCAAGGTGGCTGCGGAAGCAGAAGTGGCTCCTCCAGAACCAACTTCAGAGTTGCCTTTGGGTCCCAGTGGAGCTGGGAGCGCTGAGTACTGCAGTCCCTGTGGAGTGCGTTGTAAACCACGGTTAGGGGCTCCCAGGTGCCTCAGTCCTCCCCACGGGCACTGCAGAGCTGTCATTCCGTTTCCCTGCAGAAGCGTGTGGCCGCCGCACGTCATGCCACGTTTTCCCTCCTTAGGGTGTTGCTGAGCTCGTGCCGCCCACCAGGGGTCCCGGCCAGAGGTCTTGGCTGCTCCCCACCCCACGCCTGCTCCAATCCCTCAGCCCATCCTGTGGGCTCCACATGTCTGGAATTGGACACATCCCACGTCCGGAACAGTCATTCTGCCTTGCTGGCTGCATGGCCACCGGAGGAGCCATCAGCTCACACTCTTGTCTCTGACTCAGAGCCCTCAGCTTTCCCAAAGTCTTCCCCAGGCACAGAGGTTAGTTTTATGTGTCAGCCAGTTTTAGCCATCACCCCTAGTCATTCAGTCAAACCCTAATCTCGTTGCAGCAACAGTGTTTCACAGACTTGATAAAAGTTCACTATCAGCCCAACCGGTGTGGCTCAATGGTTAAGCGTTGACCTATGAGTGGTTGAGGTCACGGTTGGATTCCCCGTCAGGACACAAGCCCGGGTTGTGGGCTTGATCCCCAGTAGGGGGCATGCAGGAGGCAGCCGATCAATGATTCTCATCATTGATGTTTCTATCTCTCTCTCCCTCCCTTCCTCTCTGAAATCAATACAGAAATATTTTTTTTAAAGTTCATGATCAGCCCGACTGGTGTGGCTCAGTGATTGAGCGTCAAGTTATGAACTGGGAAGTCATAGTTCGATTCCCAGTCAGGGTACATGCCTGGGTTGTGGTCTCGATCCCCAGTGGGGAGCATGCAGAAGGCAATCAATGAATGATTCTCTCTCATCATTGATGTTTCTATCTCTCTCTCCCTCTCCCTTCCTCTCTGAAATCAATAAAAATATATGTATTTTAAAGTTCATGATCATTTGACTTTAATGAGGAATACTATCCTGGACAACCTGGGTGGGTGCATGGTGGATGGGTGGGTGCATGGATGGATGGGTGGGTGCATGGTGGGTGGGTGGGCGGGCGCGTGGTGGGTGGGTGGGTGGGTGCGTGGTGGGTGGGTGGGTGCGTGGTGGATGGGCGGGCGCGTGGTGGGTGGGTGGGTGCATGGTGGATGGGTGAAACTCAGGTAGTCACAGCTGCAGAAACCACCGACACACGAGAAAACTGAGCTGCATTAGGGTTGTTTCTCTATTGATGCAGTGTCGTTCTCCCCTTCTAATCTGGCTATTGTGTAAGAGACAGAAATTGGAACTGAATCTCTGCATCTCAGGCAGAGTTTTTATTCCTGGTAGGGGAACAGTTGGTTTCTGACCCTCGAAGGAGTCATGTGGAGAAAGTGGGGCTGCATCTGACAGGCATGAGAGCTGACTCCTCCCGGTGACTGCAGACCAGCCACGATGTGGACTCCGCTTGGCGTCCTGGAAGCTGCGCAGGGTTGCGGGGCAGCCAGCTGTGCCAGGGCGACTGGCAGCGGCCGGAAGCTCGCCCACAGGCTGGTCAGCAGAGTCCCCTCTCCCTGCAGCCACTTTCCCAGGGGACCAGGCGGCAAAGCGGCTCCCTGGAGGCACCCGGGCCTGCACACAGGCAGGGTCCTGAGTGCCTTGAAACAGCAGTGCCCATTCGAGGAGACGGGTGGAGGTTTCATCCAGCCACCTGAGCTGCTGCATGGTGTGTCACTGTAGCAAGTGCGACGTCCCTTTGACACCCTCCTAGGCATCTATCAAAGTATAAGTAAGGTTGTGTGTGTGTAGCTTTGCAAAGTTGTCCAGTTTTAAAGCCTCACAGTTGTATTGCTGTGATGATGCTCACAGTCTAAAAACTGAGTTTTAAAGAAAGTGCAGAAGGAAGCCGGTTATAACACGGAAGCAGTGTTTCTTTTCCCCTGTAGCAGTTGCTGGCTTTTCGTCATTGAAGCCTTTGTGAAACTTCCTTTAAGTCTTACCCTCACGTCCCTTCAGGGGTACCGGCAAATGTTCCTTCAGCGCGGGCTCTTCCCCGGCGGGCACTCCCCATCCGAGGGCTCCTCGCCGTTCCGGGGAGGTGGCTCACGCTGCTCTTTCTGCTTCTTGCCTTGGCAGGGCCTGATCAAGATCCGGGGGGACCGGTGCTGGCGAGACCTCACCTGCATGGACTTCCACTACGAGGTGAGCAGCGGTGACCCGTGATGTGATGTGATGTGATGTGATGTGATGTGATGTGATGGCGCAGACTCCAGCTCGTGTGGGAGCCCTCTCTGCTTCCCTTCTCTTGGGGCAGAGTGTCCCACTTGCTGAGGCTGGCAGAGTGGGGCGTCTGGCCACTGTGGTTCTGGGCCTGGTTGTTCATTCTGGTTTGGGGCAGCGAGTCCTGCTGCTGCTGTCCACAGCCTTCCTAGGCCCTGGGTGTCAGACCGGGCTCCCTCCCTCCTAGAGGCTGAGCTGGCCCTTTCTGCCCTATACCGAGCTCCCAGCCTCGGTGGATGTGGGTACAGGGGTGTCCCGGCTCCCCCAGGGACAGGCTCCAGTCCTGTGTCCAGATCCCCCAAACCCCCTCTCTACCTTGGCCCAGGGCTTTGGGCAGAGTCCCCGATCCCTGGACCAGGCCCTGGTCAGAGCCCCTCCAGACATCCCTGTCTCTGCTGACTGCTAGCCTGTTCGGTGGGGGGCTGGGGTCACCTTTCCTTATGAATTAATTCGAGGGCATTTGGCATTGAAGTGTCCTTCGTCGTCTCGGTGATGTTGGCTCATTCGCACACACAGTGCATGCCTGTCGGGTGCCAGTTCTCACGTTGGGCTCATGTTGCTTTTATTGGCAGTGAGAGCCTTGACACGCCTAGAGCACCACCCGTCAGATAGAGTGCTGTCGCCCTGTTCCCTGCTCGTGCTTGTGGCTCAAATACAGAAGAGTGGTTTTTATCTGCTCTTCTTCTGAAAGGCGGCTTGTAGGCCATTTTATGCCTTCTGTGGCTTTCAGTCCCACGTGTGTTCAGTCCTGGATGTCACCTCTGAGTCCTGGGGGACCGCCCCCTCACTGCTGTGCCTGTGTGTGTTAGCGATTAAGCAGCCCGGGCAGGGTCATCCTCTGTGTGCTGTATTTAAGAAGTCAGGCTTTATCTTTAGGGGCTGGAGGTCAGTCCATGTCCCACCTAACATGTCTCAGAATGTCCTCCCCTCCTGCTCAAGGACCCCTGCGGCCCACCCATGGTCCTAGAGCTGCCCTTTCTAAAAGAGCCAGCAACAAAATGCTTCCGGCTTGGCAGGAGGGAGCATGGGACCCCATGGACTGGGCCACGGGCCTCCTGCTCTGTCCTGGGCCTGTCCACAGCCCCCTCAGCCACCTTGTCAACACTGGCCTGCTGTGTGTCCCCATGAAGGGCATCAGGGCACGGTAAACAGGCAGCGCCTGTCAGTCCCCAGGATGCGAATGCCCGTGCTCACGGTGCCTGCAGCTCTCTGGCCAGGATGGAGGCAGCTCTAGGACTCCTGCGTTAGGACAATGGAAGGAGCTGTGGCGAGTGGAGAGTAGGGATGGGTGAGCGTCCCCACAAGGGCATGGAGTTGGCACACACCAGGACCTGCCTGGGAGTGGGGCAGGCAGCGGGAATGTGGCCACCATAGCACTGGCTTGTGAACTAAGTCCTGGGACAGGCTGCCAGCAGGCATGGCATTGGTGTGTGTGAGCCAGGGCCACTTGGAATCGACGTTCTAGGACAGGCTAAGTTGAGGCTCATCAGGAACCAGGAATGTGATGGCCAACGATCCCCTGGGACCCAGGGCTGAACCGAGCAGTGCTCCGAGGTCCTGGGAGCTCAGTGCTGCCGTCATGAGGAATCGGCCCATGGCATCCAAGGCAGGCCCTTTGGAGGGACTGAACCCCGTCGCTCTCTGTGGCTGCAGAGCCTTTCCTCTGCAAAGCTTGTTTCAACACCCGCTTTGTATGGTGGATTGGAGTGAGGACACTGACTGATGTCTCCTTAGGAGCCAGGCCGTGCTGTGTGCTCACTGCAGGCCATCAATTCATCCCTTTGCATTACCTGTGCCCCTGGGACAAGGATGGTGGGCCACGTGGCCTGTCCTCTGTGACCTGGACTCCTCCAGTCCCTGGCCTGGGGCAGCAGGGCCCCAGGTAATGGTGGGGCCCGGGTAATGGAGAGAGGGCACCTCATTCACTGTCATGGCTCCACTGGCAGAGGCCTCACAGAGGGACCCTTTGGGGGAGTCTGCCAAGCCAGTGGGAGTCAGGAACAGCCTGGGCAACAGGGAGGGGCTCCCAGTGTGACAAGAGCTCAGGCTTCTCTCCCCTCTCATCATTATTTCTATTTCACCTTTAACTTGGCTATCACTAGGGATGCTCTTTTGCATGGGGCTACCACAGTGAGGCCTGGTGATGGTCAGGACATCAGGAGGGCACAGAGCTGAGCCCGGACATGTGAATTCCCCCCAGCATCCCGACCCTGCGACGAAGTGGACACTGAGCTCCGCTCACCCAGACCCAGCCAGTGAGTGGAGGGCTGGTGGGAGATGTGCCAACACCCTGCCCGCCTGCCTCTTGGACAGAGCTCATCTCCTCATAACAGGATTTCTGTGTGAGGCCCGAGGTCCTTGTGCTGTTTTCTACACCTTCATCAGCTGGACAAGGTGTCAGGGTCAGGGATACACCGTCCTTGCCCCTGGTGTCTAGACACCTGGAGCACTTGGCAGGAGCCTGGTGACACTAGCATCTGATGTCTTTCAGCAGCACAGGGGGCGAGATGAGCAGCATTGCCATCCGATTCATTGCTCAGGTCCAGCTGCACCCTGTTGGGTAGGACAGACCCTCCCCTGCCATGCAGCTTTGGCCCAAATGGTCCCATGTGCCTACTCAGCCCCTTGTCTTTCCATCTACTGGTAACTAAGAGGTGGTTGTTGGTGAGTTCAGCCGGTCGAATCGGAAGCAACACAGGGCAAACGCCTTCGAGCGCAAACCGTCAGTCCAGCAAGAGAAAAGGCAGGCAGCCTCCATGTGATGCTCCACCGCTGAGCGCAGTGCCTGCAGACCTGGTGATGGCCATGCCTGCACTCACACCAAGCCAGTGTCACTGAGCACATCCAGGGCAGAATAACGTTCTGAAAGCCTCCATCCACAAACTGACGGGCTCTGCTCCAACACCCGTGAAACCATCCACAGGAAATGCCCACAGGCGCACCTCGGCTGTCAGACACTAAAGGAAAGGGAGAAAAACAGACACAGCTTACCTGCTAGCAGTTTTATGTCTTATCCAATTACCTTTAAAATATGCAGCATTCCCCTTGGAACAGCAAGAAAATGCTCTTAGCGGCAAACTTGCATTTCTGTGTACCACTCTGCTCTCTAATGTCAACTGAGGGTCGTTGGTGCCAATTCCGTGCCAACAGGAACCTCCAATTTGGGGTGTGATGAAGAAGGAAACTTTGTTCAGTGTGATGCAGCAGAGCTGTGAAAACAGCATGGCTGTGAGACCGCCCCGGGCCAGGCGCCTCTCTGGCTAGACAGCTCTGCTCCATACTGGTCTGCTTTATGCTACACTGGTCTGCGCCCTCTGCTGTGGTCTGCCCCATTCGGGACCAGTCTGCTCGGGCCTGCACTGGTGTGCTCCACTCTGCACTGGAGAGACATCTTCGGTATTTGAGCTCAGCCAAGGAAACACAATTTTCCATCTTAGGTGGAAAGGTGAATTGCACTCCCAAAGGCAGAGAGGAGCTGGCTTATATAGGCAGAAGTCCCAGCCCCTGATCCCTGATTGGTCTATCCTCATGCAAATGAAGATTCTAAATCTTCACAGTTTGATTGGTCCAAAAGGCACTGTCCTGATTGGTCAGGATAGAGCCTCTCTGGTTGGTCGGAGCCGCACAGCTATTGGAGAGGGAAAGCCTCAGTCCTATTGGTTGGAAAAAAGGGCTGGCTCAGATAGCAGATACACCCTGCAGGCAGGCAACTCAGTGCAGGTTTCTCCATGAAGTGTAGTTTGCATGAGAGACCCCTACATGGAAATGGCGTGTTCTTTTTGTTTTATTTCAGCCCCATTAGCCACCAGGAACCCTTTTTAGTGGGTATCTTCTGTCTCAGTGTCCACAATACAGATTAATCAAATTTGAACATTTTAACTTTGATATACTTTGATTACACAAATGTATTCCTTAAATTCCTTCGTATTGGACATATCACTCTCAAAAATTGCCTTCACCTTACAGCTTGGTGATTCACAGGCCGCTGAGCTGTCAGAGGGGTCCTAGCCTCACTGGGTCCCTCCGCCCACGTGGGTCCCGCCTGCAGCCCCTCTGAGTCCCTCTGTGCTTGAGCCGGTGCAGATCTTCTTTCCGTGTTTCTCCCCGGCCCCCAGGAATACATGAATGAGTCCAAACAAGTTTACACTTGTTTTACTCCAGAGTCCTGCATGCAGAGCTGACCTTCAATCCAGGAATATAATTCACGTTCCACTCCTATTATTTGTAAAGTCCCGCAGCCTCACAGCACATGACAGAGGCCTTGTGTCACGGCAGATGAGTTTTGAAGCTAGCGTGTCAAGCCCACGGTAGGAACCGCTCACTCAGGCACCCCCAGGATCCATCCGGAGCCGAGCTGTTGGAGCAGAACCTTCATGTGCAACTAGATGGGAACCTTGTGACTGGGTGTGCTCCCTCCTGCCACTCCTCCAGGTGCACATGGGCGGCCCACGATGCCCACCCCTGAGGGTCCGCTGAACCCCTGCGAGTTGCTGCTCTCCGGGACGTGAGTGTGAGGGCGCCTCCTGCTGGCCGTTCCGGGAGAAGTTTTTCCTTTCTCGAGATCAGGAAGGTCACTGCCTGTCTAGGTCGTGTCTTCACATGTGACAGGGTGGGAAACGGCCTGGTCCCAGGACCTCTCAGCTCAGGACGGGGTTGCTGTGGCTCCCTGGCCCTGGACACTGTTCATCCCTCCACATGCTGTGGTCATTCTCAGCACACTGACCCCGGGACAGGCCAGGCGCTCCTTCCCCGTGGCAGAGACCTTGGCAGCCATGCCAAGGTGCTCCTGGGGGTGAGCACTGTGGGCTGAGCCCCATGGACAGGCCCTGCTGCCCAGGTCGGCAGTGCCAGTGGGATTCTCCAGTCCCTTCCAGCACCTTCCCCACCTCCGAGGCGGCCAGTTGCCCTCCTGGTAATGGGCG